GCACAATACTTAATCAAGAGGAGAAATATACACATTACAAAATTGACCTTGAATTTGTATCAATAAATGAAAAACATACCCATACCATAATTCCCCTTTTTACCATTAACAAGAGATCGGCTGTGATCATTAGCCAATTATAAACAACCCCATTTAAATGAAAATTTAATGATTTATAAACAAGATGGGAATTAGGACGTCACTCATTCCAAACTGCTTCGTGCTGGAAGGGGGTGCTGTTCATACCATGGGGATCATGACAAAACTCAGAAACCTGTATAAGTCCGTATTTTCAGGGTCTGTAAAGCTGCATCATCTTAGCTGTCTCAATTGTTGGAACACCTGGTCCACTGCTTCCGGGGGCCTTGGTTCGTCAAACAGCAGAAGCCTGGAAGGAATCCTCAGCTTTTCATTTTCTGTGGAAACATAAACTAAAACTCCTTTTCCAAGTAACATATCTTTATACTTAAATTTTGAAGTCAAGGCATTTTCAAAAGACATAAGTTGAATTAATTCAGCAGCATTTATAATCAAGTGTACTTTAGCATTTGTTCCTTCCTTAGCAATGAAAAAACTGAAAAACACAATAGCATACAGTATCCAGACTCTCTGTGTATTTTCCATCTTTACGTGGCTTATTTATTTATCTATTATTACTTTATTTATTTTACTTTAATTTCTTTTTCTTTGAGACAGGATTTCTCTTTGGAAATCTGCCTGCCTCTGCCTCTGCCTCTGGAGTAAATCCTACCGGCATGTGCCACCACAACACCGGCTTTGTATTTATATACCAATTTGCTGTTTCATTTTCTCTCTCAATCTCACGTATATTTAAACACACTGTAAACCTTTAGAGGTTTTGTTCATCCAAGTCTAACTTTAGTGTAAGTCTTTACGTTTTTCTGGCCACGTGTCTTATCTGTAAAACCGCGGCCATTTAAGATCCCCCAAGGAAGGCCTTACCCTTCCTGAGGAGGCATAAAGAGAATGGGACAGGGGACCGGTGGGGGCCAGGGAAGGAGGGGAGGGAGAGGAAACTGGGATTGAATGTAAAATGAGATTGTTTCTAATTTAAATTAAAAAAGAAGCCAGCATTTCAGTTCTTTTATTGTTCAGTATTATTTTGGTTATTCTAGACTTTGTGTGTGTGTTTTCAGATGAAATTTAAGATTTCTTGATATATATGTGAAGAATTGCATTGGGATATAGTTAGGAAGTATGTTCTTTATGTAAATTGCTTTTAGCAGGATGCCATTCTTAAAATAATAATCATAATTTGTAGATAGGGAAGGTCTTTCTCTCTTCTTATACTTCTTCAATGTCTTTTTATTCTAGTGTTTTACTTCCTTAACTAGATTTATGCCAAGATTTCTTCTTACTTAATATCAATGGGATTTTTTTCCTGATTGCATCCTTAGCATGTATGAAAGCTCCTGACTTTTTGTATTAATTGTAGATCCTACTGCTTCTCTAAATGTATTTAGCAGTTGCAGACATTATCCTGTAGAGTCTTCAGGGTCTTTTATGTATGCCTCATTCTTTCCTGTTATACCTACTGTCACAGGATTCCTTCCTGGGTCCTGTCGCCTCTTTAGTCCCCAAAATAACACACAGAGACTCTACTTGTTGCAATGCTGTTGACCAATGTCCAGGGCTTATCATTGGCTAGTTCTGTCTTAAGTATCAACCCATGACTACTAATATAAATTTCTATAAGGTCTTGTCTTACCAAGGACACAGCCTCATGTGTCCTCTCTTCCCAGGATCATATGGCAACTTTCTGCTCTTGACTACATTTCCCAGCAGCCTCCTAGACTCCTAGTCCTACCTATCTTGCTTCCCTGTTGACCAACAGTACTGTATTTATCAACCAATAGGACAACATATACACAGAAGGACTTCCCTCATCAACCCACTTTATCTCTTTTATTTCAAACTTAAAATGCACAGTGCATTATTGCAAGTAAAACCACCACCCTGTCTATTTATTCTATAGAACTTATACATCCTGAAAGATCCTAAACTCTGGCCAAATTATCGTTGCAGAAGCTTTCTTATCCCACCAGCCTGGTTGTGCAACTGCCTCAAACCCAAATAAATACATGGATGTTATATTAGTTATAAAACTATTGGCCGATTGTTTAGACTTTTTATTGGATAGCTCTGTCTTAATTATTAACCCATTTCTGTTAACCTAAATATTTCCACGTGGTCCTATCTTACCAGAGAAGGGTCTAGACCTGTTACTCATTTGGCAGCCTACATGGAGACTCCACTGGAGGGCCCTCCCTGCCTAACTTTCCCAGAATTCTCCTCATCCTAGTCCCACTTATCTTCCTGCCTCATTGGCCAGATAGTGTTTGATTCACTAACCAATAAAAGAAACATGTATACAGAAGGACTTCCCCTATCAAGTTACAATTTCTAGTTTATGTAGTGATGCTTACTGACATTCTGTCACTTTTCTGTTGAAGCTTTATCTTTGACACTGAGGAAATTTTCCTTTTAAGTTTATCATATAAGTTTAAATAAAATAAGAGGACTGACAAAACAAGGAAGAATCAGTATTCTTTTTATCTATGGTTTTATGTGGAATTCACTCTATCCTACACCATATCCCCAAATGACTGTATCTTCACTGATTCTATCACACTGAGCTCTTTGTGTCAGAAAAAATAAGTAAGCCAAGTGACAAATAAAATCTACAGATAGATAACAATAAGTCCTATCACAATCATTCTATCTTCAAATACTAAATCTTCATTAGACTAATCTGCAAAGCAAGATACAGTCTGAAAAGTTACAAAATCAAAGAGGAAAGAAATCATCATATAAACTCATGGATTTTAATAATAAGACCTATATCATGTCTATTACAGAAATTGAGTGATTTGAAGCTGTCAAATGTAACCAGTGGGATGACAAATTTGCATGCAATAGGAATTTCCTTCCATGCATGTTTATGAGCATTCTTTCCTACACAAAATCACAATTTCCCCTGAGAATTCATGTCATTAAAATTGAGCACCTAGGTGTGAAGGAAGGGATGTGACTGGGATACAGCCACTTGTCATGAAAAGTAGTATATTCTCTGCATTTTTTTCTAGAGTCACCCAACTCAAGGAGTGAGTAGGCAAATCAATAGCATATAATAATATTCCATAGTAACTTTCCCATGGTCTTTTCTCAGGAAATAAGCTCAATACTATGAAGAAGAGCAAAGAGGATGACAATGAGAAAGCTCATTTTCAATTATTCAGTACCCTTCCATTGACTGTAGGATAAAGTTGAATCTCCTTAGACAGGATAAGTCTCCTTTGCTCTATTCCTAGGTGGCACAATAGCCTTATCCACACTGTAGGAAAAGTTAGAAGGTAGGATAAGAAAGGCACTCAAAGGCCATACCAATCTTAACATTGGCTTTGAACAAGGTGAATTCTGAACAAAGGACAACAGGATGTACCAGATGGTTTCTTCTCAATCTTTCTCCTCAAATGCTCTATGTATTTCTAGCAAATGAACCTACTCACATTGTACAGTCTCCTCATTTATTCTTGCCCATCGCAACTTCATATGTCTTAACACCACCTACAAAGTCTCCCCAATCCCTTCAACAAGTGATCCTCCTGCTCTAGTTCTATGAATGCCCAAAGCCCTTGGCTCAGACCATAGCTATAGCTTTTGTGTTTTCTGCCTAGCATCAACTATTATTTGCCAAATGATAAAATCATAGATGTTCTACTTTGAAACTCAGCTCATTGCATATCTTTACATTCATGGGTAATATTTTGTACAGGAACGTAAACTGTTACCTCTTCTATAAGAAAGGCCTGGTCCCTTCACAACCTTGTCAGCTCAGTTCCTGGCCCTCAGCATCTCACAGCTCTCTGCCAACAGCAGTTTGACAGGTACTTCAAATTGTTTCCTGAAATCACTGTCACATTCCTCATGATTAGTGAAGACTCCTACAGTAGTTTACATCCACCTGTCCTTCTGAAAGCACAGTGCATGAGGGTTTTTAGATTCAAAAATCAATACTAATGTTTCAACTATTTTTTCCAGCTGAACTGCTTGTGTATCAGTACATCCCAAACTTCCAACTAGAATAACCCCTTTTAATGGACAGTAAAGAAACTCTTTGTCATTTTCTCTTGAATTGAGCTGGCATCTTTGTTATGCTTTTTTACTTGCCAAGACCAATGATTGAATCTAGGATCTTCTATATAAAGCCTACCACAGAGATACCTCGCTAGCCATTTGATTCTACACTTTGTCTAGCAGACTGTCATTAAATTGTCAAGACTAATTTAGAACTTACTCTGTAACCTAGGTAGGCTTTGAATTTGCAGTCTTCCTAACTTGGCCTCCTAAGGGATATAATTATAGGCATGTGCCAGAGAGCGCACATTTTTTCCACTCATCTTAGTGAAAGATTCTTTAGTCATGAAGGCCTCACAGTTTCGTGAGCTCCATCTGCTCCACCATCTACCTATTCTTGCCCAATAAAAGACCTCTTTATAAATTAATTAGGATCTTTCAAATTTCTTAGATTTCAACTGCAAATAAGAACTTTTTAAGAAAGAAAAAGAAGACCAAAGCTAGCCTGTGATGATATCTTGTTTGTGCTCAAACAAATAAAGCTTACCACAATAACAATGCACAGTTAGCCACTAGTTAACCATAGAGGCAAGGCAGTGGTAGCATACACCTTTAATCCCAGCACTTGGGATCTCATGCCTTTGATTCCAGTACTTTGGGGGCACACACTTTTAATCACAGCACTAGGGAGGCGGAAACAGGAAATGATATGGCTGTGCAGAGATAGGAGCTAGCCTCCTTTTAGTCTGAGGATGTCACAGAGTTAAGAACTTTAGTGGATGGCCGCTTACTTCTCTTATCTTTCAACATTCACCCACTAATATCTGACTCCAGGTTTTTATTATTAAGACCTATTGGAACCCTTGCTACACTAAACTTCTACCTCCACTTGTGTCAAACAGGATTTTGTGCCACTGTACCAGGACTTTGAGAATTTTTATAAGAGGAACCTTTACATGAGAATCAGAGACAGCTGGAATCACACCATCTGCAGTCCCCCAGGGCCTTACTTTGACATAATGGAAAAAGTGTCTGATGACTATAACTGGACATTCAGGTAAAGCAGTCAGCAGAGAGGGCTTGATGGGTAAACACTTGGGGAAATTCTAGCATGGACACCTGTTGCAGATCTGAAAACCTAATGTGAGGATGAGGCTTATCTTCACCTGCTCATCCCTTTGCAAATTCTATTGATATGGTAAAATAAAAGTGGTTAAGTGGCCAAGGTGGCTTCTTTATATTATAATTAAGGTTAGAACTGAGTCAGCAAGTTCATAGCACAGAGACAAAACCTGAAAGAGCCTTTGACAACTTCTTTGTTAGTTTGTACCTTCCTGCCTTCTCAATGATGGACTCAGTAATTATTGTGCCTTTTTTTCTTTAGAAGGTTTTGTATCAGCTTTAAACAGAACGTGGGTGTCATAAAATCAGTCATTCATGGAAAACCAGTGCCCAGTAATACACTGGGGACCAGGACCTTTCACTAATGTTGTACTTCACTTTACTATCTAGTCCTCTAAAAAAAAGAAAGAAAGAACACTATTCCAAGAACAGTACAAGTTAAAATGGAAAAGACAATGTTAGGCTTGGAGCAAACTGAACTCTTTGAGGTGGTAGGATAACAAATGAAATAGCACTGTGCATTCACTTGCATATCTCCCTACAGGCATACTGGAAGAGTTTTCAAGGATGTTGTCAACATGGGCTCCTACAACTACCTTGGGCTTGCAGTCAAGTATGATGAGTCAATGAATACAGTAAAAGATACTTTAGAAAAGTATGGTGTAGGTGTGACCAGTACCAGACATGAAATGGGTAAGTACATTGATTAACTTGGAATTTTGTATTGTGAGTCTCAGATTCATGTTATTGCACATCAAGTCAGGATTGCATTGATGTTGAATGCCTCAAATAAATGTGATAAAATTGAAGAAGGGGAGGAGAAAGAGGAAGAGGCAAAGAAAGGAAGAAAGAAAGAAAAGAAGGAAGAAAGGAAGGAAGAAAGAAAGAAAGAAAGAAAGAAAGAAGAGATATATGTGCCTCTTTAAAAATGTCAGTCATCCTGTTTTTGTCACACAGATTTTTAAGTATGTGTATATTTCTTCTTAACAAGTCAAAACAGATCTTTCACAGTCAAACTTCTAAAATAACAACTATCATATTTCCTTCAGGACATCCTTTTTTCCTTTCCCTCAGTTTTTTCCTAATAGCATTCATCACTCATTAAAATAATTTTGCTGCTGTATGTGTATATGCATGTCTCTATTACTCAAATGTGAATATCCTGAGCAGAGGGATTGACCTTCTGGATGCTGTGGTGAATTAATTAATTAATTAATGGTACATGAATTATTGAATATGAAAAATTGAGCACATTATTTTATTCTCTTTTGGGAAAGAAAAAGAATTTGTTTTCTCAAAGAAAGAAAAAATATGTGGGAAAGCAATAACATGTCACACAAAAAGATAGTACATATTTCCTCTTGATAAATACTTCACAATGTTAATCTGGGTATTCCATTGTTGTAACAAATCATGACCCCAGAGATTTATTAGCAATATCTGCGACATAGGGCCTCAATCTCCCTCTTTGTCCTTCTGGCCCTATACACTCCACCAATTTTGTACTTTGTCTTGCTTGAGATAGGGTTCTGATCCCTAACAATTGAAAATTTACTACTTGTAGGGGTCATCTGGATGGCCAATTTTCTTGAGTAATAATAGTGATGTCATTTCCTATGTCCACCAAGCCTTCCAGAATAATGCTACTTATCTGTACTTTTAATTTCACTCTCTTATCATTTAGAGAAGTCTGTCAAAATGCACATTTTTTGTTTCCTCCAGTATCTACTGGTTCATCCTCAGTAACTAACCTGTTATTCACAGAGCTATTAGTCTTTACAATAGGCAGTGGATCTTTGAGAGGCCCCTTGAGGAGTTTCCCGATTGTAAAGGGTTACCTTGTATGTGGTCAACCTACATTCATTGCTCCAGTGTCAGCCTTTGCCACATCTCCTACATAATCCAGAAGGCTGAGGCCTTCTGTTTGAATCATTCCTAGGAGTAATGTTATTTCTAGGAATGTTTTGCCTACAGTTCCTTCTCAGATGTCCTATTCTACCACACTTAAAATATCTGTAGTACCGTGTCTTTTTAAACTTCTAGAGATTGCTTCTCCAACCCAAGTTTGTATTTCCTCATGGTTAGAGCACTTGTCATCTTTTTTTTTTGGTTTTTACGAGGCAGGGTTTCTCTGTATTGTTTCTGAGGCTTATCGGTCCAGCCTGGCCTCGAACTCACAGAGATCCGCCTGCCTCTGCCTCCCGAGTGCTGGGATTAAAGGTGTGCGCCACCACCGCCCGGCTTCACTTTTCATCTTGGTTCCTTTCTAGACCTTTAGAAATGACCTCTCCTACACAGGTTCCTGTATCATGAACACTATATTCAATATTAGCTGTATACAAGACCCATTTGTCCAATGGTGCTGATCTGATTTATAATGGCCAAAGTACCTTTTTACATTGTGGATTTGCATTCTCATAAGATAGAGATTCTATAAGGAGTTGCCAAGTATCTGAATCAGTTACCTGTAATTCTACTGCTCTGGATAATCTTTGTAAGAATTCAATGAACCTTTCTCTAGGACCCTATATCACTTTTGTATAGTGTTCAATTTTTTCTCCTGGTTCATGAACTTTATTCAAAGCACTCAGAGTTTCTGTATGGTATAAAGATAATATATGGTCATCAAATTCAGCCTGGGCCTGTGGATGAGCATACTCACCCTCACCAAGAATCTTATCTTGGGAAGCCACAAAACCTATCTTTAGGCCTTGAAGTTCGAGTGTCTTTGCTTCCTGTCTCCACAAGCCTTCCATTGTATTTGGGAAAGTTGTCCAGCACCACTGAAATTAAATGACTCCAATCTTTGTGATTTTATTTATGCTTGCCCAAGATTTCAGCAATTCTCTGACAAACTAGCTGTGGACCCTGTAAGATACTATAGCCTGCTTAATTACTTTCAGGTCTTTCATCTGTATTGGTTTCCACTGGTAAGTAATGGACCCATTATGGATCCTCCGTGTTGCTGGCCTTTCTGTCATAGTTACTGGAATAGTCACCTTAGGAAGATCTCCTGGGTGTCTTGTAGGTATACCTCTGTCATTGCCTGGTGGTCTAGTGGCTAGTGCCTTTGAATCTGATGTATCAAATAGTGAATTTCCTGAGGCTTGCAACGTTGTGATCATAGTATCTCTGAGTGATTTGATTTCCTGAATCAAAAATTGTTCTAATGATCTGATAGGATCTGCATATTCCTTGGACTTATCAGTCAAGCACCATTCCAAGCATTTAATACGGTCATTCCTAGAAGCTTGATTGGCGTATAAGTTGCCTTCTAGAAATATCATCCTATCTGCTAAAAGGCCATTGTCTTCAGACACAAAATGTATTGTCCCTGCTAATTTTGTAACTTCCTCCTGACTAGATTCTATTTTGGCCATAAATGCAGTGGACATTGAATCATTGTGTCTTGAAGGTAGTTCAGTTTACGTTCCAAGCTATCTACTCCGTGGCCAATTCATCCTTTTCCTGAAGATTCTGAATTTTTAACTCTAATTTTTTAATCATCTATACAATTTCCCTGTTATTTGTCTTCTTATTTACTCTCTTCCATGTGATTATATGTATTAGGAAGCTATTTGTGAGCATTAGACACAAATACATTTGAAATATATCATAATTGTCTCCACATAACTATTCTATGACATTGGCAATGAGATCTCTAACGTTCTGCATCTATAAATTATCTGCAATGATGTAATATAGATACACTTACCACCTGTAATTAGTTTGGGTTGAAAAAAGGAATGTTACCTGCAGTTAGCGTCCTTGGCCAGCAGATGGCCCAGGTGTATCGTCAAACACAGCTCCTTGGCGGAAGATCAATGTCCTCCAATAGGTATCTGAAATGTACAGAAATTAGCGAACAAGGACAGGTCTGGCAATGTGCACGTTTCTGTGCTAGCAAGGGAGGCAGCCCACAGGGTCGGGGGTGGGCAAGTGCAGAGAGGGCAAGGGCGCCAGAAACCGCTGTGGCTTTTGGTGGTAGCAGCAGAGCAGCCGGGCCTCTTGCCAAGGGGAGCTGCTTGTCCCGTGCCTGTTTGTAGGATGGCGTTAGGCAGTGTGCTGTGATGTGATCCTGGGCAACAGACGAGCTAGGGAGCTCCTGTGCACAGTCTCCCAAGCCAGTTGGCCAGGGAGGGGTGGGCACCACAGAAGGGGAGCAGGCGGTAGAGGGTAAGCAAACGCCACACAGCGTGCTACACAGCTTTTGAGATGCTCCTGGCAGGAATCACGGTGGACTTTCTCAGCTGGGAGCCTGTTTCTAGGTCACAGCTTTCTGATGGGGTGCAAGATGTCCTGCTCCTGTGGAGGGGGAAGCTTCTGACTTTTAGGATGCCAAGACACAGGGGACAGGGGCTGGGACCTGCAGGTGCCCCGTGAGCACTCACCTTGGGGGCTGGGAAAACTTAAATCCCACAATACTCTAACACCAGCTGAAACGGGAAACAATGCTACCTGAAAAGGAGGTCTAAGATACTTTATTGAATATAGAAATCACTTACTGGGAAGCTCTCTATAGTCCCCGCAGCGACCAGGATCCAAGAGAGCGATTTACTTTCCTTTCTCTTTCCCTTTTATCTCTCATCTGTCTCACATACCCCTTGCAACGCCCCTTTGCAGGCTCTCCCCTACAATGTTGTTGTTAATAATGTAGCAGCTCACTTACTCTTTAAGTGTCACTGTGCTCTGGGCAGGCTGTGGGGTACTATTCCAATATTCTAGAGGGAAAAACTCAGGATCATGGGACCTATGTGATATCCTCTTCAGGATTAATAACCCACCCCACATTTCAGTTCAAGTCAGCTTCTTTACTGTCTCCAGGTAGCAAATGAAGTATATACCAGCTTGGTTCAGGCCTACCTAAGATCGCAGACAAATCTGGTCAGCAAGACTTAACAACTAATGAGTAACAAATCACAAGTCTCTCAGATAACCATTTGGCAGATGAGCTTTGAAAACAATGCAATTACCTAGAGGTGGTGGGTGATTACAACCTTAGGGTCATCATACTATGTCCATAGATATCTTTGAGTGTAATTGTTCAGATATGTCAAACAAATAACTGAAAACAAATGCCCTTTTTATAATAAAATTAAATTTTATTACATTTTAAACTATTTTGTTAATTCTTTGAGAATTTCATAAAATGTATTTTGATCACAATCACCTCAACTCCTATTCTTAGCTCCTCCCAGATATATCCCTACCTCTACCCCACATCTCCCCAAATTCCTGTCTTCTTTTATCTTTACTTGATAACCATTGACAGCATTTGCACTGTAATATACCCCTGGGTGTTGAACCATCCATTGGAATGTGGTCAGTGTACCAGGAGTCATATTCTAAAGAAAACTGATTTTTCCTTCCCAGAAGCCATTAACTATTCCTAGCTCCTCAGTTAGTGGTCAGAGCTCATGAACTCCTTCCCAACCCATGCTACAATATTCACCAGCTTGGTCTTATGAGGGTCTTGTGTAGACAGCGATAGCTACTGTGAGGTTTATGGCAGTTTTGCTTCAGTCCTCCATGATATCTGGTTTTTACAGTCTTTCAGATCCCTCTTCTGTGGTGGTCCCTGAGTCTTGGGGAGGAATGTAATATAGATGAAACCATTTGTGTCTGAACATGCCAGAAATACTTATTCTCTTCACTATAAGCACTTAGGGATTTCAATATTAATCTCCATCTACTGAGGGTTTCTGATGAGACCCACGAGCTAGCTGCCCTTAATCTGTAGGTAGGGAGATGTGAGTTTGAGTGCAGTTTTATACTGTATCCATTTAGCTAAATAATACTAACAGATTCACTCCAGGGCCTTTAACCTCTTCAGCTATGATTCTTGTCCATATTTCGTTATGAGGCATGTATGTCCTCCTATGAAGAAGGCCTTAAGTCCAAGCAGAAATCACTAAATCTATGGGTATATCTAGCCACCCCAGTCAATATTAGAGTTCACAGGGATCACAGTTGACTAAGATTGTTGATGACTTTTTCTTCAGTGACCTACATAGGACCTTCCATTTCTGTGAGAGCTAGTCAGCAGGGAGCAAGCTTCCTACTTCCAACTTGGTTTTTCTATCTCACTTGATCAATATGTATGTTGTCTTCAACAATATGATCTTATCTTTAAATTCTAATGGGCAAACAAGAACAATGACAATGGATGGTATTGTTTCAGAGTTTCCAAAACACCTTTGACAAACAATTCATGGGGTTTATTACACATCTGGCACTTGGATATTTATTTGACATTCTGTGGTTTCTGGGATGAACATAATTCTCCAAGTATGATAATTCAAAATAAATTTTTTCATAAGAATGTGTATTCATATGTATATATATACACACACACATATATATATGTATGCATGTATATGATGCCTATAAAAGGCTTTTGTATGGCTTTTTCAAACACTTTTAGTATTAGATTTTATCCACAAATATAGTAAATATTTGGTTAAAGCTCCAGAACCAATCATGTTTGCTCATATTTCTAAGCAAGGGCTTCTTGTTATTTTCCATTTGGCATTAGAGCTAGAGCTATGAATGAGGTGGCACTGGGTTATGGGGCAGAAGCACACATGCTTCACTTAGATATGAGATACCAATAATGTTTTATTTGATGATGGATCAAACACTCAAGGAACACCTCCAGCTATAAAAGGGACAGAGTGACTTCTAGGGATGTTGCTTCAAGACCTGGTAACACTAGTACTAGGGTTTCATATAATCAAGTCAGAAAACATTCTCAAAGAACACTTCAACTAAGTGAGAGAAAATATCTCTTCATCATAGTAGACAGAAACCAAGGAAAAAGGCATCTGGACACAGTCAATGATTTGCTGCCAGAGAAAGCCAACTCCAGAAAGATGCCTGGTTATGCAGATCAGGAAACCCAAAAAACTTAGGCAGGAGTAAGTTTCATTAGAATTCTTTCTCCATACCAATAAATGGAGAAAAAGATGAAGGAAGAATGCAATTCTAGCCAGGCGTTGGTGGTGTATGCCTTTAATCCCAGCACTAGGGAGGCAGAGATAGGTGTATTTCTGTGAGTTCGAGGCCAGCCTGGTTTACAAGATCGAGTTCCAGGACAGCCTCCAACATCACATAGAAACTCTGTCTTAAAAAAAAAACAAAAAAATACAATTCTCAGGATTCTATATTCTATAGAAGCTATATTAGTAATATATCCTACATTATCATATGTATAATATAATGCATATCTCAGTAAACTATATTTTTATACTATTTCATATGCCCAAATCTCTTCCATTCATCTATCTGAGTCAAGTTCTAGGACAGAAATTTTAACGGGTTTCAAGAAAATAATTAAAGACCCAAATACAAGCTCCTTACATTAATCATAAAAAAGGATAAAATATTAATCTAGGCCTTCAGTGATGGAGTGAACAAACTAGAGGGGTTATTTGAAAGCATTCTGCAACATAAAAAGTAAAATTAACATGTACTACTTACAAATGTCCTTGTTCTGAGAGTAATTCATCTAAAAGTTTTCAAGTAACTATATTAGAAAACATAGTCTTAAAATGTTTAATGTTGTAAATTCAGTAACAACAGATTTGCCTCCTAAAAAGAAACGACATATTTTGAACTTCCAGTGAGTTCAAACTGATTTGGACACTTCTACCCTAAGGACCACACTATAAGAAGACTACCAGAAACTAGATAGCCTGGCTGACTTTCCAAAACTGCAGTGGTCTTTTACTTTGTTTATGATAAACATATATGCCTGGCAGAGAATAGCTGTCTGTAGAAAATGGCTGGTAGATAAGAGACAACAAGAAAACCAATGAAGTGAGTTAGTTTTGATCTTTGAACATATCCCGACACATGCTGTTCTCCATATCTTGAAAACAAGGAAAGGCTAAGTTGGGAGAATACCTCAGCTTGTGAATCCAGCTCCAAGAACTGCACTGGGGTTGCAGAAAGAATGCAGCAGAACTTAGGAAAATTTGCTATCTGAGGGAAAAAGACTCACATGCACAATCTGAGGGCCAAGCACTTTATTCTTTCTGGCTCTCATTCTCTAAATCTCATTTGCTTTTTTTGTTCACACAGCTTATATATACATTCAACAACATACTTCAGGCAGTGAAAGGTTACGTAGGCTATTTCTCAGGGACATAATGCATTCCTTGAGTAAATGATAAGGGACTGAGCCATTTACCATGGCAACACATAAGCGGGGACATGATGTTTGGTATTTTCCCAGGCAGTGTCAATGAAGGCATCCAAAACCTAAAACTACATTTTCTTATCCTGCATCCACAGCACAAGATGAGAAGTTTTTAACTTTTTTATTAAAGGCTATGAGGCCAGACATCCTCTGTATCCCTGGATAGCAAGGCTGTGAGACCTGACACTCTTCTGTAGCCCTGGCTATCTGTGAAACTTTTCCCACATAAAGTTGTTTCTCTCTGGATTTTGCTAATGGTTAATTTTTATTCTTATCCTCCATATAAGTTTTAGGACTTAAACATAAACAGTTAGTTAGCTGAGCCTTGAATATTGTACAATAAACTGAGGTCAGAAGTTTGTGCAGAGTGTTATGGAATTTAGTAGGGAGTTTAGTAGGAATCTAGTGGCCACTGATCTCTGTTATCAGCCAGGCCTAGCTAGAGAAACTGGCATAGTATTTTAGGTTGCTTTATGCTTAATAACCTTGGTTCAGACATCTGTAACTCTGTCCTTGTGCATAATCTGTGAAAGATTAACTTACGATTCATTCACAGAGACATTAAGTCTAGTTTGAATTTGTTCTTCAGATTTTGAATCAATTAATTGTTTGTGGCTTGTCTTAGAAGTGAGAAGAAATTGTTGTTTTCTTCTTGCCAGTCTGAGCTAGTGATTAAAAAGAAACAGAGCCTAACTATCTTACAGTCCTTATGAAATAATAGATCTTGTTATGAAGCATATCCTACTATATTTTCTACATATCAAAATTTTACAGTTAATGATAAGTAGTCTTCCTGACTATTCACAAATATATGTTCCCATAAGATTAAGATGTAGTAATGAGTTTACATATCATATGAAATTACACATTATAGTATAGGTATTGGGGAGATATTATAGCTGTCTTCGCATATGTGAATTTATGGACAGAAGCAGCAAGTTTCCAAAGTCTGTGGTGCCATAAGCCTTGTTTTATGTGGTTATCCTCCATCAGAGAACTATTCCTCAGGGTGGGCTGATATCTGAATTATCAGTTGCCATCTGTTGTATTTGTGTCATGGACCATAATAGCTTGTGACAGGAGAAGTCAAGTAGAAACATTTATTTCATCTCTCTTTACTTCGCACATTAGCTCAACAAAAATGTATGACATCGCATCTTTCTTCCCCTACAGACACAAAGGTGATAACTGGATGTACAGCAGAAGCACATTTGCACAAAACCTCCAAGCCCCATGGGCTGTTGTAGTACCACCCAATAGTACTAATAGTCACAAAGAACTAATAGTGTTCTTAGCCACGAGTTCACATAAAAGAAAATACACAGAATGCCACAAGGCAATGCTTATGCCAACAAAAGCTCATCTCAAGTTAGTGATTTGTCCACTCTTAAAAAGGAAAACCATGAATCACAACAAACAAACCAAAACACCTGCTTAGTTCAAATACATGCCCACTTAGGAACATTCCTTCATCCAAGCCTTGGGGAATAGCCAGCAATGCTTTCAGTTTTCAAATTACCAAAATAAACACATCTTATTGACTTACGACTCCACACACGTATACACACACACACACACACACACACACACACAGAGAGAGAGAGAGAGAGAGAGAGAGAGAGAGAGAGAGAGAGAGAGAGAGATGTACTAGGGACGTATTTCACATCTAAAGTTTCAGCTGTGATGCTAACAGTACTAGTAATGTACAACTGTGCTGAAATCTCTTTGTTCAGTTTAAGATTTCCCTTAAGCACTAGTATGTAAATATTCCATCCTGCCCCTGCAACATAGCTTCCTAACTAGTCCTTGTACTTGAACTTCAGTTATCAAGTAAACCTATGGTTTTTGCCAAATGATTTGAAGCTAAATATAGGAAATATATAGTTTCATTAATTCAAACTTCTTAAGAAAAGGTCAGGTTAGAATAGCAAGATGTCTAAATTAAAACATATTTTGAGTAAGTATTAACTTAAGCTGTTCAAGTTTCTCTGGGAATGAGTAGTTTCTGAGCAAGTAGGCTTCATCCCAGGAATGCAGGGATGTTCAACATACAAAAATCTATCAATGTTGCCGGGTGGTGGTGGCGCACGCCTTTAATCCCAGCACTCGGGAGGCAGAGGCAGGCGGATCTCTGTGAGTTCGAGGCTGGGCTGGACCAACAGCCTCCAAAACAATACAGAGAGACCCTGTCTTGTAAAAACCAAAAAAAAATCTATCAATGTAATCCACCATATAAACAAACTACAAAGGAAAAACCACATGATCATCTCACTAGATGCTGAAAAAGCCTTTGACAAAAACCAACACCCCTTCATGATAAAGGTTCTAGAGAGATCAGGGATAACAGGAACATACCTGAACATAATAAAAGCAATATACAGTAAACCAACAGCTAACATCAAACTAAAGGGAGAGAAACTCAATGCAATTCCTCTAAAATCAGGAACAAGACAAGGCTGTCCAATCTCTCCATATCTCTTCAATATTGTACTTGAAGTTCTAGCTAGAGCAATAAACCACAACAAAAGAATATCAAGGGGATACAAATAGGAAAAGAAGAAATCAAACTTTCACTATTTGCAGATGATATGATAGTTTACATAAGTGACCCAAAAAACTCTGCAAGGGAACTCCTAGAGCTGATAAACACCTTCAGCAAAGTGGCAGGATACAAGGTTAACTAAAAAAATCAGTAGCCCTATTATATACAGATGACAAAGTGGCTGAGAAAGAAATCAGAGAAACATCACCCTTTACAATAGCCATAAACAGCATCAAATATCTGCGGATAACGTTAGCCAGAGCAGTGAAAGACCTGTTTCTGAGGAATTTCTATCAAGTAGAGACCTTGGTTATTTTTTAAGTGACGTGGGAGGAAGGTTAGGGATATAATTCAGTGGTAGAGTACTTTTCCAGCATGCACAAAGTCTACTACCACAAAAGATTTTTTAATGAACACAACTTTATTCAAATCAATGCTACAAAAATGTTTATAAACAAGTAGTTTCATAATATAAGCTACAAAGATTCCCCACTCCAATTATTTTACTTATATAGCAAACCCCTTGTTCATAAATGGTGCCTGTTCATTTCATACAAAATTATTGTAAATTCTGATTAATAAAATTTCATTGCATTACTCTCAAGTCTCCTTATTTTTCTTTAAGGGTCCTTGTAAGGACAAGGGTACTCTCAAAGGAATTGTTTGGGAGTAGAAAAGTGAAAATATATCCTTGATGCTGCAATGATAAACAGCACACTTACTGAAAGAAAAATAAGTATTTATTGTAGAAATTACTCACAAGAGACCAAACAAGTAACCCAGATGAGCCTAGTAGTTTTCCGCCGCCGAACTGGAAGCCGAAAGCCGGAAAAAGAGAGAGACTTCCGTTGTTCAGTCTTTTATACCTTCCCCCGTAATGCCCCTAGCCATGCCCAAAAGTGGGCCTGGCTAGTGACGTAGTTCACCGCCTACGTCTGTATACGTCTTTACGTCCGTATATGTCTTTAGTCGTGCATAAAGTGGGTGTGGTTAGCAGTGTGGTAAACCGCTCTTTTATTACCTCATCTGTATGTGCCTCTAGTAAATCACATGGCTAATGGCCGCACACGGCTTTCTCCTACATATCCTGGTTTCTGAAAGCCTTTTGGCAATTTCCTGAGACGTGGTAGAGTTCTGACAAGGTAATTGCCCTTCCTCTGACAGCAATAGGAATTACACCCATGTCAGATTTCAGCAAGCACAGACATCTTCAAAAGTATAGAAATTGGCCCTGTAGGTTAAACAAACTCAAGAAAGTATAATATGTCAATGCAATATGCCAATACTTTTACATTAATACAGTACATGCCCCAAAAGGGATACCTGGGATGACTAACCTGGAGAGTTGTAGAAGCTGATAACTTCTTCATCCCCACTCTAGAAGATAAAAAACATAGTCCAGGCATAGCATAGTTATAATGACTTGCCAATTAATGCTGCTAGAGTCCATATGTTGGGAAATCAAAACTAAGAAAAATTCTCCTGGGTATCATTGAAGAATACATTGCATTATGCTACATATCTCACAGTCAAAACCAGAGGCCTACTCATTTGAGAAACACTAAGTAATCCAGAGACTGTTTGGTCTGTACTTCTGGAGTTAAGGGTAATGTTTTCATTTCTATCCTTTTGACAAAAATAATAAGAATTTGTGAAACAAGAGAAGTGTATGAAATTATAATTCTGGTATCCATAAATAAAGTTTTACCCATCATTATCTCCAGCTCCTTTTAGTGCATTCCACCCAATCTCCCTTGAGTCAGAATGGCCATCATCAGGAATACATATGATAGCAATTATTGGCATGGATGTGGTGAAGGATGAACATTTACACACTCTTGGTGAGAGTGTAAACTAGTGCAGCTACTTTGGATATCAGTCTGGAGGTTTCTCAGTAAGTTAGAAATCAAACTTCCATAAAATCTATCTTACCACTCCCAAGCATATACCTTATTACAGAAATACTTGTAGATCCATATTCACTGTTGCTCTATTTACAATAGTAGAATCAAGTTATGTCTATTTAACTGACAAATAGGATATAGGATGTAAAGAAAAACAAACTCATAAAATTTTCAGATAAAGGGATGGAGCTAAAAAATATCATCAGTATAGTGACCTAATCTCAGAAAGACAAACATTACATGTTACCTTTTATATGTGGAACCCAGATTTAAATCTTTTGTTTTGTATATTTAATTTGGAATACATGTGAAAACCAGGTCATTAGATGTGTGACCTTGGGGACTGTGATGAAGGAAGGGAGCATAGCAAAATATGGGTAAAAAGAAAATAGAGAGAATCCTGGAGACAGAAAGATTCAAACATGCAAATGTGTGGGAGTGAGAAAATGAGAGAAATGGGAAGACGTAACTGGAATGAAAGTACATGAAAAAGCTATACAAAACTTATATCTTGATAGTAGAACACATGTGAGATGGAATGATATGGGAAATACTCCAGGGTTAAAAGTTTAAGTGAGTATAAGTGTTGGGAGAAAGGAGAGAACAAAAGATGAGAGGCAGACTAACCAAATCTACAAAGAAGCTTGACGAAAACCCACTACTTTTTAAAATATAGTATGTTTTTATAAGAATTTGAATAGATATATTCTGCGTGGTGGATTATGTTTCTCCTAAGAGACATGAATATTAAATGAAAATCTCAGTCCCAGGCAGGGGTTTTCTCCCCATGAGTTATTAGTTGAGGAGGCCCTAAAGGCACCAAGAACAACACAGGATATTACTGTTGCTTTAAGTTGCCCATCAAAACTAAATGATAAGACCCTATTGCTGAAAACACCACTTACTCAAGGATTCATGACATAGAGAAAATAACCTTGAGTGGCAAAAAAAATTCTCTCCCTGCGGTCTAGCTTTCATAGTGCTTGCGAGAGGCTTAGCATGCGGCTGGGAGAAAAAGCCATCGATTGCGTCAACCAGCACTAGGTCCTGTGTGCTACAGTTTTGTTCCTATTTTTTGCCAACACTGAGGATTGAATCTGCAGCCCTCTGCCTACCAAACAAGTATTTTACCAACTGAGATATATCTGTAACCCCACAATCAGAATCTCTTGTTTAACAAATATATTCTAGAGGCCCTACAGACATGCATGCATACACACACACACACACACACACACACACACACACACACACACACACAGGGTTTACAACGTGAGCCAATGGTCATATTAAATTTTTTGATATTTTCACTGCCTATCAAAGTGTCATAGTTATATATAAAATTACAATAAGTATTCTGCTGCAAGATAGTTTCTTCTATGTATGCAACTGAACACATGAAATCTCAACAATATGGTTGCCTAAATAAAACCTAAAATAGACAACATAAATGGCATGCTAAAATGCATGGGAAAAATCTCTCTAGGCCTCTTACCTAGATAAAGATCTGTAGGCAATTAACAGTTACTCAAAAGGGGCGTTCACTCTTTCACAGGTTGCCCAGTACCAAAACACATATACATACAAGCAACATAAAATAAACTCAGCAAGTTGTACATATAAGTGTGTGTAAAACAATAATAACTAATGAATAAGAGGCATGAAGTTGAGAAGAAATAAGGGGAACCTTAAATAAGTTGGAGGGAAGAGAGAGAGGAGAAAAATGTGTCAATACAGTACTTATACATGAAGTTCTCAAAAAGTAAAAAAGTAAAAAAGAGAAATAAAAGAATGGGAACATGAAGTAAAAGACACATCATTTTGTCAGTTTAATGGTTCTTCTCTCATTTGTATCATTTGCCATGAAAATGCAGTTGCATAATCATGCCTCCCTTAGACACTTTACTAGCATCAGATTCTATCTACTATTGCTTTAATTTAACAAGATGTGGTGAGTGTTTTGTTTTAAATGACATCCTAAGGTAGGCATGCAGATGCAAGTGACTTCCGCTATTTGTCTCTGAATGCAGGAGCCAGGCAAGGCATCTAGTTTCTAGTCTTTCTCTGAAGGTTTAACAAAATGTAAGGTCAATCAAGAGGCAGTATAACCCCATAAACTGCAAGTAAAATAACTGGGTACCAAAAGACTTCTGTGTAATGCCTACAGCTAGATTCCTTTAGGCACAAGGACTGATGCTGGCTTGAATGCAGGATCTTCAATGCAGGCAAAGTGGCACAAATGAGAACTGATAGCACAGTGCCATTGAAACAGACAGATGGGGAGAGCTGGCAGGTTTTCATGGTAAATGACACCCTGTGCTGGGGCCAAGTCTAGAAACACTCTGCATACAGGATAATATGAACCAATTAGTCACAGTTATGAAAATAGCTTCACACATGAAACAGAGGAATGAAATGGACATCTCAATTATACCCACACTCATTGCTATCAATCAGTGTTAGTACATCTGTATGAAAGCCAGAGATCTCTATATTTTGACTGAGGGTGAGCCAGTCTATATCACTAAAAATTCAACAGAAGAATGTAGCCCATGTCCAGATTGTTGGTAATTTATCCTGAATCTCCTGTATATTCACTTGATTTATGGCAATGAATTCAGTGTTTGGCATCTGAAAACATCACTTAGTAAACTGGCAAGGGAACATATTCAGTTCATATTTATTCTTTTATTCACATAGCAAATGTTGGTATCCTGCTGGATAAATAAAGTATCAAAGTAATAACAGGAGTCAACACATACATAACACAGTAATCTGTAGAGCCACTGACATTAGCAAAAAAAAACTATTTTGCATTTGTTTGTTCTTTCAACTAGGGCTATAGTTACACTTTATTAGGATATACGAAAGACAGTATTTCTCTGCCAAAGACAAACTATTGAATATTATTTCTAAAACTACCCAAGTATTTGGACCACCAGCTGCAACTTAACATCTTTACTGCATTGAGGCACAGCCTGCTGACTATAGAGAGGAAGCGCTAGTGACTACTTTGCTCCCTGGAGCCATCCTTCATTTTTAAGACTAATAAGAAACCAGCAGTTAACTAATTCAAAAAAATCCAAATTTTTGTTAATCCATAAACACTGGGAAACCTCTCAAGACAGTCTTGGGCACATCACTTAGTCACTTGGCTGTTTGTTGGCCTATCACAACACCCCACGCTATCCTAAGGACTTTCAGTGATTCTGCTGTGATAGTTAAGCATGTGGGAAACAAGGTATAGAAAGAACAAAGGTGGAGATTTATCTTGAGTATCTGTTCACATATGTCTGGAAGATTAGATTGTGACACAGTTACTCATTTGACACCCTAGACAGGAAAAATTTATGAGCAAAGCTGCTGAGTTGACTAATTCAAGTACCTTCTTTTTTTAAAAAATACTGCTGTCTGCTGCCTAGTCACCTTGTTGCTTTGGCTCTGCATAGATATTTGACCTCCTGAATTTCAGTCCCTACCCTTAACTCACGCTTGTCTTTATTCTCTGTAAAACGACTCCATGTAACTCTCTAGACACATACTGAATGTCAGCATCAGGCAAGGCATTCTATTTATCATGACAAAACGTCTACTATAATATCAGTTTTTGATTGAACGAACATTCTGTTGTTGTGGGTATCTGTGGAAGTCACGGGTCTCATGTCTATGTGCACCTTGTGGGCTCCTTTTGTAGTATTTCTCCAAATGCCTGAATCAATTTACAGTAATTATAGCTATCGTGGGACAAAGATTATGTAATCTCCAGACTGGTTTTGCCCTGGGCAACTGACAAGGGTGGCATAGAATGACTCACCTGTTGGGTGGATATGAGAAAGTGAGTGGGAGCTGCCACCATGACATGAGATCATTCTGTGTGGAAAAAAAGCACATGTGCAATGCCAGAAAACCCTAAACCATATCTTCCTATCTTTTTAACAACTTTCAGGGACAATAACTAGAGAGCACTCAGTTGTTAATGGCAGATATGGGGCCGGAACTCAGTCTCTTAACTTCTGATTGCCTACTCCTGAGACCATCCTCTTTGGAAGGCAGTGTATTCTATATAAAAACGAATCCAACAAATGATCACATGTTCAGATTTCATCTTCAAAGTTTATTTACTCTTTCTGATAGAACCTTTTAACTATTGGTGTGTGTGTGTGGTGTGTGTGTGTGTGTGTGTGTGTGTGTGTGCGTGTTTGTGTAAGTTCAGGGATAACTCTGTGAATTTGGTTTTCTCCTTCCACTGAGTGAGTTCTGGGATGTCAACTCAGATCATGAAGTTTGCATTATAAATGCTTTTATCATCCAAACCATGTCTCTAGTGTGACAATTTAATTTTTACCTGCTCCACCAAGACTTGAGTAAAAACAACCATATCGTGTGTGTTGCTTCTGACAACTCCTGGGATAACTGAATTCATGTTTGAGAAGGCCACCTACTAGTTTATGTATAATGCTGTCATTTCTCATAAAGGACAAAGGTTGTTCTTCACTTATACTCCTTAATATTGATTACAAAATATTAAGAATTAAATCTTTGAACTGACCATTTAATACTTTCTAAATTCGTACCTTTAACTATTCTGGCAGAGTAAGGGAGCTAATTTACTAGTGAGAACAGAATCTTGATATTTCAGCCTGAATAGTAATATAAATTGGTTGTTACACTGAAAGAAGCATGTTTATAATGGTACTAAACATGGTAACAATGTTTACTTTTCTTCAATCTCGACAACAGCTCTTAAAATCCTGTAGGTGTAAGTTACATCTCACCACTTGTGTTTTTCTGTTCTCAAACCTGAATTCATTTATCCTGAGTTGCCAGAAGCAACACACAGTACAGTCATTCTTACTCCAGGTTTGCTGGAGCAATTACATTTTAAATTGTCACACTGGAGAGATGCCTCAGTAGATAAAGTCATTTATCACACAGACATAAATATCTTATCTAGGAAAATCGACAAGTAAAAATGCCAGAGCTGTCATTTTTAATTTTCTAATAGCTATATTACTATTTGAATATATAATCAACACAAAATCTCTTGTTATTATTTTTATATTCATACAACATCCCATTGTGCACACCAAATTTTCCATGACTGAAGCCAAATGAAATTCTATTTAAATACTGGCACAGTATTTAGGAGGAAATATTTTTGAAGTACTTTAATTTTAAGGTAGAAATAAAATTCAAATATAGTTTAAAACTCATTTCTTCAGTTTCACTAACAACATATAGCTAGTAGCTGTGACACCAGATACTGTAGATCTAGAAGGTGAAATTATCAAAAACAAAATTCAAAAATTATTAATCTTTGCTACCAGCAAGAAGTAATATCATTATAATATTTAAAAAGAGATCAGTAAACAAGTATATAAAAGGTCATAGGCTGCGTGTGGTGATGCATGCCTGTAACTTTAGCACTCAGGGAGTTGAGATAGGAGGCTTACTAATTGGAAGGCAACCAAGGATACATAATAAGACAATGTCAAAGGAAATTAAGAGAAAGAAGAGAGAGGGCGGTGGGAAAAGGAGGAAGAAAGGAAGAGAGAGATCAAGAGGAGAGGAGGAAAGTTCATGAGAAGCAAAACATATATTTACAGTTAGGATAATTATCTCTGTTTAGTTTTTCTTACCTTTAAGGTAATATTACCTGTACTACTGGAAGCCTAAGATTAAATGATATCCTTTAGATAGAAGGTTTGTTTGAGTATCTAGTGCACTCCAAGATTTGAAAAATTCAACTGCTACCACTAGTGGCTATAGAAGTTGTGGGGTCTGTGTGCATTTAGGTAAATGAAATCTCTTAGAGAGTAGTAACAATTACTTGTGGGATATAGGGATTTTGGTGTGTTTTATAAATCATGTTGCATTGTAAAATGCATAGCAAAGGAGCTGTAATTATATAGCTCAATGGATTTTTACAAAGAACACATACCTGTGTATTCAACAACAAAAACAGAACATACAGAGAATTCCAAATCCTTGTCATTGTCGAAAAAAGGAAAACTATCACTTTCCTGACATCCAAGTGCTATAGTTTGCAAACTTTCTATAAATGGACTCACAACTTATACTCAGAAGAGTCCAGCTTCTTCCATAAAATTTGCTCACACCACTGTGTGAAGAAGTATTTTTGTCTTTCATTAGGTTATATTCAACTGTATTTCCAAAACTAATACATTCATGTAATAATAAATGGGCTTTTGAGTTGTTTCTAGATTGGGACTATAACAAAGATTGTTGCTATGCTTCAGGTCTTTGTTGATGTATGCTTAGTGAAATTTGAGTTTTTAAACTTGGGCTTGTTAAAAAGTGAGAGGCACTCCTCATGTAATTTCTGCCCAGGTACATTGGATAAGCATAAGGAGCTGGAGGATCTCTTTGCCAAGTTCTTGAATGTAGAAGCAGTGATGATCTTCGGGATGGGATTCGCAACCAACTCAATGAATATCCCTATACTTGTTGGAAAGGTAAGAATTTGTTGACGTGTGTCTTCTGCTGTGTTATGCCTAAGAATTAAACCTTCAGGGAAGTCCTCAGGAAGTGTTCCAGAAAGCCCCTTTTTTCAACACCAAAATCTTTGGATAAATATATCAGCATAGTTTAGCAAATCATTATGATGATCCTGGTTATTGAGTTGCTGAACTAAATGTGGATCAAATGTCATCTTCAACAGTAACTTAGAAAAGTTGTAGTTTTAAGGACTTTTCATCTACATTTGTCTACTTACTAAGCACTACTTTAGACCAAAATTTTTTCCTATGTCATTCGTTCATTCATTCATTTGGTTGACTAATTGTTGAGATATTACATGTCATGGTATAAAGCCACACATGGGATATAAAAGGATGAACAAGACCTCTGCTTTATAAATTTAAGTGTTCAAATTATAGTAGATAAATAATACACTGAGTAAAATTGGACGGACACTACAGGAAAAAGAGCTGCCAGCTCTTTTTGAGATAGCATGCAATGTCTGTACTGGAAATATAAGAACAGAACATTGATATGTTAGCACATTCTTTCTTGAAACAATAAAGGGTCTGCATGGGCAATGTACAGAGAGAGGAAGAACTAGAATGCAGAATCATAAATAAGAACAGATCAACAATGAAAGTACATGCCAAATCACCAAGAACTTTATATTGCAAATCATGCCAGAATGTTTAAGGATGCCCCTGAGAAAGAAATGAGAATTTGGCTACCCCATTTTAAATAATCAAGTGTGATAATAAGAATTATGCTTTTTAAAGAATGTAATGACAACTAAGTATGATATATGATCTTAAATTGAGTTCTGTGAAAGTTAATCGAAAAGATGGTTATAACATCTTTAAAAGTATTAGAACAGTTGGGGAAATGTCTATTTTAGTGACGTATTAGATGTTTATATATAATACATGTAGCATTTAACATAAAAATATGGAACTTAGTGGCAGTAACAACTGCTTTATTTATAGTAATTACACAGCTAAAAAACATAGATGCAAGGTATCATGAGGTTTACAATATTTCTGAAATGTTTCAAAGGAAAACTTGCAAATAGACACATATTCTTCAGCATGGAGATAAGAAAATTTTGCTGACTTTAGCCTCAAAAACCTAAAACATGTTGTATGTGAAATTACCAAAATACAAGGAGGAAACTTGTATTAAGACAGTCATAATTTCTCCTCAGTTTGGGTACCCTTGGACAGCTCTATAATGTATGCATTTTAAATTTTTAAAGAAAAATAAATTTACATAATGGGTGAGAAGTAGTATTTTCCATCCACTTCACACTGACTTTCCATGTACACTTTTCCAAAGTCAAAGTTTTTAACTATAAAACACAGATGTGTCTGTCTCCTTGGGCTGTTAACACAGGCAGAATGAGAACACAAGGTTAGATTTTGAAATGCCTTACTATGGAAATCCCCAAGCTGCCAGGAGGACTAGTGAGAACCTTCCAAATAATCTAGCACAGAATCAGGTACCAAACTAGTCTACAGTCCTCTGCAAAATATCAGACTTCCAGTCAAAGCTCAATCCTTCAGACTCTAACATGATATTTCTGTTGAAAAGTATTTGTAAAATCCCACTAAAGATGCAATGTCCTATGAACAGCTGCTATCTCCATGAGACAGCTGAAAGATTAGATTTTATCCATATAAATACCAGCTGAAATTCAACCTTTTCAAACTAAACAGCATTCAGACTTAATATAGGTTTTTGGAGTCTTCTAGCTTCCATATGTTGCCTTTCCTTTCATTATCTTGTGGTTTGTGTTTGTTTTCTGCCTAGGGATGCCTCATTTTAAGTGATGAGTTCAACCACACATCTATCATCCTGGGGGCTCGACTCTCAGGTGCAACAATAAGACCCTTCAAACACAACAGTGAGTATATGTGCGTATATGTGCATTTATCCAATATTCAGTTGCTTGCTGCCAGACACAGGTCAAGATTATTCATGAGATTTTGTCCTTGCTTTTCAAATTGCTAACTTATCCTAATGAAAGACAAGTATGCTTATATTCACTGCTGGCTTGTTAACCTCTGGTGACCTGAAACAAATGGCTGAAGTGCATTAAAAGTCCAGATTGCTAAGTGTTACCAAAACCCATTAATGTCACTGCTAGAAGTCATGTGATGTGGCCTCTGACAATGTGATTGATATCTTAGGACACCATTTAATTATCAGATGAGTCGTAATTCTCCTCTTCTTGTAACCTTGTCTTGGAAAAGCTCAAATATTTTTAAATTTTGAGCTATGTGTAAGTAAAAAGTTAGCTTTCTTCTTGGTATACTGTTGGATTTCCCTATCCCTACATACAAACACTCATATCTCTATCCTCCAGATGTTTTTAACTATATTGGAATATGTCCCTCCAGAGGCTGGAGAGATGTCTCTGTGGTTTAGAACACTTGTTTCTCTTGTAGAGAACCCAGGTTCAATTCCCAGATCACACATGGTAGCTTACAACCATCTGTAACTCCAGTGATGTGCAATCAGATGTCCTCTCTGACTACTGTGGGCACCAGGCACACATGGTACACATACATACATGCAGACAAAATATTCATAGACATACAACAAAATAACAGATAGATCTCAAAAGATTTTTAATGCCCTTCCAGGCTCTGTTATGTTGTTGAATGGTGGAAATGGTGCAGAGGGCTATTCCTTTATTCCTTGTGGGTCAGAACAGACACCATTGGAAGTCTCAGGAAAACAACTTAAAAGAAATAGGTCATGGCTGGTAACACCTGTGTCCTCTGGTCCAAATGTGCCCCTGATTTGTACCACTTTCTGTAAATCCTTCCATATTTCTTACATTCAATGTCTTTATTTGTAAAGATAAGGAAGACATTGACATTTATGACCTTTTAAAGCTCTACTTCTGGCACATTAGCATCAGAGGCTCCACTTCATTTTGTGTTCATGCTCCTGCAACCACACACACACACACACATACACACACACACACATACACACACACACACATCAGCACACTAGCACACCAGCCCACTTCCTTTTATTTCTTAACACCTTTCTCACTTTCTTTCCATTCCTCTCAACTTTCCTTGTTTTTACTCCTCAGTACACCCTTTCCTTCAAAGAATTCACAAAAGGTAAAGGAAAAGAAGACTGACAATAAGCAAGGAGGAGTATCCTGGTTCTTTGCTGCCTTCCTTGGAATAATCTCAAGCTAAAGAACAGTTGTCTCATGACTGAGGGAAGAAAATTCATGAGTGTTCTCAAGTGAACCCACTGAATCCCTTTTCTAACTAGTGGGGGATTCAATGAAACCCTGCTCTCACTGAAGAAGGGCATGGGGTAGGAGTAGGTAATATGTTTATCTAAGTTGTTCTATTGCCAGTAAAGACTCAGGAGTCAAATATTGGGGTGAAAATCTAATAGATCAAAGAAGCAATGGAGAAGCAACCAGCTGGCCTTCTATTCACACTTCCCAGATCGAAGAGAGCATGAAATCTCTAAGTCTCTCCCTACTCCTTCCTGTGTGTCTCCTGTATTCATATTCCTGGATTCTCTATGGCTAATTCCAGTCAGCTAGTCACTGACTCCACCCCCTGATTCAAGGTTAACACAGTCTCTGAGTATCAAACACCCCACAACAGGTGGGGATTAATACGCATTGGAGAACTACTTTCAGCATCTGTGCACAGATTGCTATGATGGGGTGAGGACCAGGGCCAGGCACTCCAGAAGAATAAGACCATAGACATGTGGCTCAACTCTGATATATAGTTCAGTGTAATTAAAATATGTTGCCCTCATTTCTTTAATTTGCAGCAAATATTAGACTTTTCATTTTAACATTTGATAAGACAAATCCCTTCAGTTAAGTTGATTTGCCATCTACTATTACATCCAGTTTCAAATTACATTGGTAGTACTAAGAATTCATGTTCGAAATACGCATCTTTTAGGGATTTAAGAAGTATGTTTGGGCTGGGTAAAATGATTCCTTCCAGGAATCCTAGCACTCAGGAGGCTCAGTTAAGAGGATTTTGAATTCAAAGCCAGGCTTGTATTCACGATGAAGCTCTGCTGATACAAGGATGAAGTGAAAAAAGAAAAAGAAACAGTAATGTTTTATATAAGTGGCCAGGCAATTCCCTTAGTGTTAGCACAAATATGTTATATGATTTGAATCTTTAGCATGACAGATGACTGGTGGTAGAAGCTTATACCTGGAAATGAATAAACCATGTACATATGGATTACACAATAACCTAACTTCTAAAATATACAGAGCTGGGTTGTAATTTATTTGGAACAAGTGATCTGGGTCATTGTCAAGATTGATTTCTTACTTCTTCATCCCATTCTACTAAACTGTTTGTGGCCCAACTGTAAAATACAGACATCTAGGGATCATCCATGTCAGATTAATGATTTTTCCTACCTCCAGACCAACTTAAATACAAATCTTTGGATTGAAACTAATGCATTGTATGTCTATAATGCACAATGAGAGATAGAAGACCTAAGTCTTATTATAGATTTTTGTATTAGTTATTTTATTATAATTTCATATCTATATATAATGGCCTCTAGTTACTCTCACCCCATCACATCTTACCTCCCTCTCATTCCTGTCACCTCCTTCCTCCTCACAAATCCCTTTACAACATTCATGTCTTTTGTTTTGTTTTGTCACCTAGGTAGTGTGAGAAATATCTAAGCAAAGCAATATAAAATAACCTTTTAGATTGGTCTGACCACAGACTGCTTAGTGATTATTCAGGACCCACAGTATTTTACCCTAAAACAAGCAACACAAACCACACTACATAAGCAACCATTTAGTATTTTCATTCAGATTCTATTTACAGAATAACAGTGTCAGGGAAACTACACTCAGAACAGAAAATAGTCACTACATCAGGAAGAAGTTACACAATGCTTGGACAGCTGAAAAACACCAACACCATTAGTGATGGGTGCATAAACATTTTATCTTCAATGTGATATTTGAAGATTCTCCATCATTTACATAGGATACAGAACCAAAAATCTCAAATTAGAGATGCTTGATAAAAGCCAAGGAATTGTCTTGGCAATATTACAAAATACAAAAACAATTGTAGAAAATAATTTAATATAAAGGATCCTGAAGATTGTGACAAATATGCAATATTACATTCTGAGTGACATGAGATGATGCTATTCCTGGGCCAAATTGTAAAGTCAGAAGATAAACAAATAAACGTATTAGTACTAAGTAAGAGTAATATACCAAGGTGTGTAATTATACTGTCACCTGTGAGGTTACATTTGTAAAGGATTATATACAAAACAAAAAGGAGTATGTAACAAAGAGCATGTGTGGTTCATAAAGCCCAAGATACTATATCTTGTTCCATATAGGATAAGTCAACTGGCCCTGCTATGATCATATAAAGGTATACCTCTACTCTTAGGGAGGATGTAGTGAACTGCTTAGGTGTACAGGAAATGATATATGTAGCTTAGTCTCAATTCAGAAGAAAGAATTATACATAGATAGTAAATGGGTAAAGATAGATAAATAGATGATAGATTAGAGGAAAGATGACAGGTAGATTGATTGATAATAGATATGATGATAGATAGATAGATAGATAGATATGATAGATGATATGTAGGTAGGTAGGTAGATGGACAGATAGATTAATAGAGCAAGTGTGATAATGTATTGAAATATTCATCTGGACCAGGTGAATGAGAGTATCTTACAATTCTCCAAAATTTAAATATGTTCAAATGCATTTCTGTTTTAGTCTTTAACTCTGCTGAGATTATAATTAGTATTAAATTTTAATTATATATTTTACAAAGTTTTTTGAATATTCAGCCCATTGAATAACTTACTCTTCATGCTGCCTTCTTACCCCATAATAATATATGACAAAATTTATATTTATAATAAATATCAGCTATAGTTATTTTGTACCAGAAACTAGCACTTATTATTAAGAATTTACTGTATGTCAGATGTCTAGCTATTTTGATGTTGTCTCTCTATTTATTTGTTCATTTAGTTAGTTCTGAATAAAACATAATAAGATAGAAACTAATTAATAGATGAAAAGACTAAAGTTGAAAGGTATTTAAGAAACTCTCCCAAGATAATCTAGAAAAGATCAACTCAAAAAAAGTGTGTGTAAATATGCCATAGGTACACCTGTTACTTTGTATGCTAATTTAACTTAAAAATTATTCTACAAAGAAGTAGTGGACTCTGGAACTCTCTGGAAAAAAGCTGCCATTCCCAACTCATTAGGACTCTGCAATTGGGTCATCATCTACTACCTCCGAGTCCACAGACATTCATTATGAATGAGCTGCTATTGCTGAGTTTTCTATAGAAGGCAAAATAATTCTCCTGAAACATACCACTGCCCTGGTCTCCAAATCCTGTGAGTGCCTCATTACCCTAAAATAAAGTTAAAGTTACAGAGAGAATTGTGTGGGCCAGTCAATTAACTCTGAAATAAAGCCTCTATCAAGATCCAGTGTAATAATATGGTTATTATATGCAGAAAATGAAGCAAAATGAGGATTGTCAGAGAAATGCAATATGAGAAAGATTGCAATTGCCATTTTTAGTTTTGAAGATGGAAAAGGACCACATTCTAAGAAAGGCAGGGCCTAGAAGCAAGAAAATCTGAGAAAGCACAGGCAGCTCTAACACTTTCAGAAACATGGCCCATCTTTCCAAAGCTGTGAATTAGCCCAGGCAGACCCATTGCAACTTCTGATGTCCAAATTTGTAGAACCCCCAGTTTGTCTTGTTTTAATCAATAATTTGGGCTCTTTTCTTGCAGCAGCAGTAAGAACCAAATGCAAGCCTTCACTCTCTCTCATGCAGCTTTATGTCATAGTCAC